AGGTGCTTGACAACATAGGAACGGCCTTTAGAAATTTAAAAAAAGGAACAAGAAGTTCCAAGTAGCACGGGCTATGGTGATCCCGTAGTGCTAGTTAAAAAAGTAACTAGAGCACATTTAGCAGCACTGAAGGTGAGGTGGTCTTCAACACAATGTCTTTCACATATCTCTAAAAAGAAATGCCATATCACCTGTGGTCGCTGTCAATAAAACTAGATCATCAGCATAACAGAAAACAATGAACCAGTGAACAAATCCACAAGGGCCGTGATGAGGGTTCGAACTTACGTCTAAGAGGTTCCCAGACGTTAGAAAACATTGGTTTTTAGTAGTGCCTTTGACACAACCAACTCTACTGATTTTTAACTCTCTCAACACTGGAGCAAGATAGACAGCAAATAATAGAGGACTAAAAACAATACCTTGTTTGACTTGAGCCAACTTCTTAGTGAGAAATTTTCAGAGAACATTACTCCATTCCACAGATACACAGATACTACATGTTGATCTGAAAATCAACATGTAGTTATCTAACGATAACAGGACATGCTAAGCAGGAGCCAGATTTATGAAGCAGTTACGCAAGCACTTACGAACGTGTACATCTTTCCTCAATCTTTGACGGCTTGGGTTACATTTATTAAACAGTTTACAAGCATGAAAACTTGCCAATCAACTGTTGGCATTGTTATAAACAGCCTCTTGGTGCTTCGGAGGTCATTAACTGTTTAATAATTGTAAACAAAGCCGCCAAAGATTGAGAAAAGATGCTTAGGTTCGTAAGTACTTGCGTAACTGCTTCGTAAATCTGGCCCCCTGGTCTAAAAGTTTGGTGTGTTCGACTTTTGTCAAAAGCATTGGGGAAAAGCATTCAACTTTTGTCAAAAGCACTGAAAGCAGAGGTACACTGTGTGTCGCAGTACTGAACAGTTTCCGCCATCCAGAAGCTGTGTAGAGCCTCGCTGAGTAACCAGCGGTGTATGCAGATTAGAAGCGAGAAGTGAGTAGTTCGTCAGGTAGAAAGTTAACCAGTATATAATCAAATGCTTCGCTTAATAATGTGTTGAGGGCAATGACTCTATAGCTATCACAGGAGGATATAGCAGGTCGGTAGCAAGCAACATTGCAAAGAAAGCAACTTTGGTATGGGAACAAGTCCAGAGGTGTTGAATACAGCTGCATACATGTTGAATACAGAAATACAGTTTGGTCGAAGCCATGTTGTCAGAGTATATGTTAGAGTTGTTAATACTCAAATTATACTATTCCGAAAAAGTCCTAACTTGAAATCTTGATCTAATACGAGACGTTTGTGAAGAAACAAAAAAACAAGAGAACTAGACTTTCTCCAGCCCAAGGAGAGAAAAACAAGTCTATTTGCAATTTTTTGCTTGTGTATTTACTATTTGTGTCTGCAGAATCGAGGTATTAGCTCATGAACCCCGCCTTTCTAACCAATTTATTTTTCCTCTATTATGACTACTACATATATATTATGACTACTACATATATATCTCTCTGCAACACACACCCACACATCCTCATTAAACAGCCCGTAGCAGCTGTCTAACTCCCAGATACTTATTTACTGCTAGATAACAGAGGCATTAGGGTGAAAGCAACTCTGCCCATTTGTTTCTGCCTCGGCCGGGAATCGAACCCGGGGCCTTTAGGACTACGACTCCCGAGCGCTGTCCTCTTAGCCACGAAGGCCCCTAGTATCAGCCTACTTCCCTGTTACTCCTGCCTGCTTCTCTAACTTATATATTAGTCTCTTATGGGATACAGAGTCAAATGCTTCCTGGTAATTCTAAAATATGCAATATAACCCCTAGTTCAGGGACTAGTCTGGTGGCAAACCTCTGAACCTTCTCTAATTGACGAGATATAGACTCCATACTGGAGCTGCATACTCCAGGATTGGTCTGACATACGTTCATTGTTCTGAATGATTCCTGACACAAGTTTCTAAAGGCCGTTCTTATGTTGGCCAACCTGGCATATGCCGCTGATGTTATCTTCTTTATGTGGGTTGCGGGGGGACAGGTCTGGCGTGATATCAACCCCCAGGTCTTTCTTTCTTTCTCTGATTCTAGGAGAATTTAATCTCCTAAATGGTACCTTGTATCTAGCCTCCTGCTCGTGTGTGTGTGTGTGTGTGTGTGTGTGTGTGTGTGTGTGTGTGTGTGTGTGTGTGTGTGTGTGTGTGTGTGTGTGTGTGTGTGTGTGTGTGTGCGTCAATCCAGTCAATTACACAAGCAATAATATTTGATTACAAATACAAAACTGATTAATCACACGTGACTACGATTAATCCTGAACCCCTGACCCCCAAGTATTCTTATTGACCAGCCTCTCTCACAGCTGTGAAGGAACGTATTGCAAGTTGCATTAGTTTGAGCAGGTTGTTGTGGTGAGCACTGGTAGAGGTGTGACGGAGGCCCTCCCCCCCCCCTGCTACTGTGGAGAGAGAGTACAGGCCAGGTATTGATGTAACTTTCAAGTCTTTGTTGTTTGTTGTTTGACATGACTTGCCTCTTGATTTGTCGTCTCTGTATCTCTGTCTGTCTCTCTCTCTCTCTCTCTCTCTCTCTCTCTCTCTCTCTCTCTCTCTCTCTCTCTCTCTCTCTCTCTCTCTCTCTCTCTCTCTCTCTCTCTCTCTCTCTCTCTCTCTCTCTCTCTCTCTCTCTCTCTCTCTCCACCACACCAATCAACACGACAATCACAGCCATTACCATCACTAACTCAACCTGTATCACCACTAACACCACCACAATCACCACCACAATCACCACCATCTGCTTCGTCACACTCTTTCAATTATTTCTATCCCTTCTCAACCTTCTATCCCCTCTGTCCTTCCCCTTAACCCGTCCACTCCCTCCCTTCTCCACTAAGTCTCTACACTCCCCTCCCTCCCTCCCTTCCCTTCTTTCCCCCTACCCTTACTCCCCCAATCCCCCCTCCTCCTGGACCCTTCCATCATCGGCAAATGATGATTGCTCGCTAACGACCTCGTGGCACGCACAAACAATCACTTAACGAGGCAATTTGACTGTCAAAGGTGTGCTTAGACGGACACCATTAATCTGAGAGTGAAAAGGATAGTCCCAGGCAGATATATATATAATTTTTTATTAACCTCCTCCCACACTATGGGCTCTATATATCATTAACTGCTATCGCAGTCTGTCTGTCTGTGGGAGTGCTCACCTACGTGTGCCTGGAGAGGGTTGAGCTTCAGATCTTCGGTCCCGGTTCTGGTACATGCTGGTTTTCGACACTGTTAGGCTCGAATATATATATATATAATATATATATATATATATATATATATATATATATATATATATGTCGTACCTAGTAGCCAGAACGTACTTCTCAGCCTACTATTCAGTGCTCAATTTGCCTAATAAGCCAAGTTTTCACGAATTAATTGTTTTTCGACTACCTAACCTACCTAACCTAACCTAACCTAACTTTTTCGGCTACCTAACCTAACCTAACCTATAAAGATAGGTTAGGTTACGTTAGGTAGGGTTGGTTAGGTTCGGTCATATATCTACGTTAATATTAACTCCAATAAAAATAAATTGACATCATACATAATGAAATGGGTAGCTTTATCATTTCATAAGAAAAAAATTTGAGAAAATATATTAATTCAGGAAAACTTGGCTTATTAGGCAAATCGGGCCTTGCATAGTAGGCTGAGAAGTGCATTCTGGCTACTAGGTACGACATATATATATATATATATATATATATATATATATATATATATATATATATATATATATATATATCCTGTGTCTCCTCTTGTCTAGACCAGTGTTGCAAATCAATTGCCGCAACAAATGATGATTAGCACAAACGGATTAAGAGCCTCTCCTACCACAGTAAGTACAACCACTTGTCTTGCATACTCATATGGGTGTTATTCCTGCCCCTGAAGATTGCAGAATATCCCAAAATAATCCACCTTGATCATTTAAGCAACGTTGCCTAAAACGTTTTAACCATAAACAAAACGTTTATGGTCAAAAACAAAAAACGTGTTGCACACTTCCACTCACACGACCAGATAGTTATTTAGTACCAGTGTCAACAAATAATTAATAATAAGAGTCCCTTCAGGACTCGCCAAATGATGTGCTACGGTAATATTCTTAACATTATTTTGATAGACAATTAATGATTATATATTGTTGATATTCAATTATTTGGTTTTGATAAGTTTTGTGATGTATTCCTCCATACTAAGTGTTGTTTCTGTGTATGTGTCCTTGATACTGTGTATTCATTCGGTGTATGTGTCCTTGATACTGTGTATTCATTCGGTGTATGTGTCCTTGATACTGTGTATTCATTCGGTGTATGCTTCATACTGGGTATTGAATGTATGCATCTTATATATTAAATGTTGTGCGTATACTTACCTAATTGTACGTGCGGGGGGTTGAGCTTCGGCTCTTTGGTCCCCACCTCTCAACTGTCAATCAACTATTGTTCAGGTTCCTGAGCCTATTGGGCTCTATTATATCTACATTTGAAACTGTGTAAGGCGTTTGCCTCCACTACTTCACTCATCAGTTTAATAAATTTATTTTTATCTAAACATAAAAACAAATACAGTATTTGTAATGTTTCATTTGAATATTCTGCCTACATATGTACCGTCATTTATGTACACTCTAAATTCCTGTCTACACTGTTCCCGTCAGAATCTTGTACGTTGTGATCACGTCTCCTCTCACTCTTCTCTGACAGGGATTTGAAGTTTCATTAAATTAGTTTTTCTTCGTAAATCGTGCCTCTCAGATCTGAGTCTAGACTAGTGACATGTTTCTGAAATTTATCCAGCTTAGTTTTGTATCAGACAACATAAGGAGTTCTCGCTAGAGCTGCATATGTAATAATTGGTCTGACATACGTGAAACATGGTATACACGCAAGAATATGCAGGAGCAAGCAGCAGCCAACCTGGTCAAAAAAATGACTTAAATCTCCTCATTTATTTATGTTTTACTGATACAGTCTTGGAAAACATTTGGAAAAAAAATAGGAACGGTACAATTAATGTGTTTATCATCTTATAAATGATTTCAAACAATCTCAAATAAAGGACATTTAGAATTAAACACCAAATCCTCATCATCATCATCATCATCATCATCCTCGTCTTCATCACCCAGCTCATCATAGTCACAATTAACCACGTTTATCTTGCAAATATTTAGGGCAGACAGCATGCGGACAGCACTCGGGGTGAGGTTTGGAGTCGTCAATCTCTGTGAGATAACACGGAGGCGCCACACCAATCGACCCACACCTGCCACGGTGAAGAAGGGACAGGAAGCACGTCAGAGTCAGATATGTAGATTTCAACACATGAAACTGTAAAACAATTCAACTCCTCTCTGTAGGTCTTGATAATATTGGCTGCCTCACCTCTACCTGTTGTTCTTCTTGTATGTTGTTTTACCTGTTGTCTGCTGTTTTACCTGTTGTCTGCTGTTTACCTGTTGTCTGCTGTTTTACCTGTTGTCTGCTGCCTTAATTACCTGTCGTCTGCTGCCTTAATTACCTGTTGCTTACCGCAACAGGTAAGAATTTTATAAAAAAAAATTATATCGAGTGATCCTGCCCTTGCTCTAATTCTAAGTGTGAGAGAATGTGGAGGAGTGTGAACTAGCTGGAGGGAGTGCGTGGGAGTGTGAGGGAGAGTGTGATTATCACGAGGGAGAGAGAGTGCGAAGTAGTGTGAGTGAGAGAGTGATGGACATATGAAGATTAAGCCCTCCCATGAGACGTGACACGGTCAACACTCTCTGGGACCTGAGGTGTGAGTTACACGGATCAACTACAGATGGTATATAGTGAGCCTTACCTGGCCAATCAAAGGTACAGCCCCGCTCCTGTGCCAGGTAAGTCCACGACGGGCTCACCATAGCCCGTGCTACTTGCCCCGCTCCTGTGCCAGGTAAGTCCACGACGGGCTCACCATAGCCCGTGCTACTTGCAACTTTTTGTTCCTAGTAGCTGAATCTAAAACAAGAACAACTTACGAGTAATAACTGACTGTGGCGTCCCCTGGTGGGCCATGGCAGGTGGCTGTGGCGCAGCCTGGTGCCTGCCACTTGGTGCCAAATGGCACGCTCACCAAGCAGTGGTCCGGGTTGTCTGCAATGACAAACACCAAGCTGATGAGGTGAAGGAATGAGATAAAGGAAGAAGATGAGGTGCAGGTGAAGGATTGTAAGGAGTAATGCTTGAGGTGAAACGTCGTCGTCCCTTCAATGTGTCAACATACTTCAATGTGAAGCATTATTAACACGAGTGTTGGCTGGCAAAAGCTGGACATTCCATATTCAAACATTCTTTCCTATCTCAGGAGTTTTCCCAAATTTATTCATTTTGATTTTTTGGGGGAATAATTAATATGTAATTCCTAAAACAACTTAGAGGAATTATTAGCTGCCTAAACAAACATCTTTTAAGAGAACTTTCAAGCATTTTGTTCTCAACAAACACGCGAGATAATGTTTAAGATAATCGCCAAATCTGGGCACACACTTTCTAAATGGTTCGCCACTCCTGCTATATAGTACCTGGAGAACCTGCAGAAATGGTGTGAAAAATGGCTACTCGACTTCAACCCAAGTAAATGTAAAGATATTACAGTATGGGGGGAAGGATCGGAACATGACAAGGCTCCTGAATTAGAAAAGGGAAATAATATTGTAAAAGACATTGTGCAAAACATGCAAGTAATGTTTATTTATTAATTTAATGTTTTTAATAATTAGGGTTGTTCCCCAACCCTAATTATATAAGGGTTGGGGAACCAAGCATGACTCACTTGGTTCCCTAAACTAGCAATAACAGGTGTGGGACACACTTGTCATTACTAGTTTAGGGTGAGAATTGGCCAGGTATACAAAATATCCTAGATTGAACCAAATCTCCTGACCAATCAGAGGCCTTTAGAAAGCTTGGCGAATTAGGGTACACCATCTGTGAGTGTGAGCCAATGAGAGGGGGTGTCACCAGGGGTGTGGGAGTGGTAGTAGCCAATCAGGATAAGTATTGCCCACCTGAGGCTCGTCTGTGGAGGCTCCCTGGTGTCGTCACAGTTAAGTTTAACTTTAATTCATTGACAGGAAAAAATACTCATTGAACATTGAACAAAAATAGACCCCCCCTCCCCCCACCCCCCCCTTCCCCCCCAATCCCCCCCCCTCCTTCCCCCCCTCCCCCCCCCCCCTCACAGCTCTCTCCCTCACTGGCAACATTTAAGAGTTCATCATTCTTCTGAGGTGATACGGGCTGGCTTTCTACGTTGTATAGGAATCAAACGAGAGGATGGCTAGACGATTCAGGGACGGTTAATGGAGTTGGGGGGATTGTTAGACTAGTTCCCCCGCCATCGGGAACTGCCATCAATGGTTTTTGAGACACAAGTGATGTAATAATGACTTACTTGGGTCTTGAGCACGCATAACCGATACGGCAGCCATGACGAGGGAGAGGCAGGTGGCCAGCACCGCCACGCGTAAGAGATGACCCATGTCCTTCACCACCGAACTATCCTCTTAGCTCAAGATCACGTCCTTGACCTCAACTGCCTCAAGCTCTCCCTGGTAGTCGGGGGGCAGGAACGGGTGACTCTCAGTAGCAGGGTTCCCTCTGACCTTGGTGCTGACAGCAGCTAGCTGACCTCAGCGCCGGCAAAGGATGCTAGCAAGAGTTAAGACGATCTTCTAATGCACATTCTTGCGCGTGCCAGGCTTATAAGAACGCCAGATTAAGATGACGTCAGAAAATGAAGAGATGCCAATTGGTTTTTTTATTTTCGTAGTTATTATCTCGCCAGGAAGTGGCGCCAGGCTCCACCAGCTGGCGCCGGGGCTGTGCCAGACACCACACCAGTCTGCTCCAACTATAGATTATAGATGAATGATTTAGACGAAACAAAAGGATCACTAAATGACTGGCACACTTCCGAACTGTGGAAATCTCATCTCTGTTATCAGTCCTGGAGACCATTTCTCGGAGCCAGCACTGGGACCACATCTCTACCCCTGGTATCATACGCCTGGTATCATACAGCTCTCCTCCATACCAAACATGGTATGAGATCGCTAGAGGTGTTGACGGAGGGCCACGCAGCTGCGTGACCGGATGCACCCGCTGGTAAGAGAGAGCTCACGAACGCCTCCCCGTCTTATCAGCCATGTTATTTATGTTTGCATTCTCAGGAACGATTAGCATGTCAGGTGTCGAGTATCGAACCTTAAACTGTGTGAGGCGACGACAAACGACCATGGAGTCCATATAATTGTCGAGGATCGAGTTCCGGCTTGTGAAATGTCGAGTGCCAAGTGTCGAACATCCAATGTCGAGTGCCAGATCTCCAGATGATGTAAGTTGGCACCTTAAGCTTCTCAGAAGCGTGGTATCTACGCCAGCGCTCCTTGAGGCGAGGGAGATGCTGCGCCACAGGATGCAGCATCCCTCCACACCTGACTAATCACGTATTATCTGTCGGACCCTAGCAGGTCACGTCTGACCCGGCCTCTCGTCTAATACGTCAAAAATATGACGTATTAGTCAAAATTAAACCACCGAAATATTGACGTTTATCTCGGCATCGGCGGCGTTGGAGTTAGGTGGGTTGCTTAGGTTTGTACGTATATGCTGGGAGTTAGTCAACTGTTGTGGGTGGCATCCAGGGCCTCGTTTAGTAGTTATAGCCTAGTGAGACCTCGAACGGCCTAATAGGCTTGTTTCTTGTGCCAGTTCTGTTTCTTATGGAACTTTCCAGCACCATCTGTTTTTTTTTTTTTTTTTTTTTTTTTTTTTTGAGATATATACAAGAGTTGTTACATTCTTGTACAGCCACTAGTACGCGTAGCGTTTCGGGCAAGTCCTTAATCCTATGGTCCCTGGAATACGATCCCCTGCCGCGAAGAATCGTTTTTTCATCCAAGTACACATTTTACTGTTGCGTTAAACAGAGGCTACAGTTAAGGAATTGCGCCCAGTAAATCCTCCCCGGCCAGGATACGAACCCATGACATAGCGCTCGCGGAACGCCAGGCGAGTGTCTTACCACTACACCACGGAGACTGCATTCTTGTTCTTTTGTCATTCTTGACATTCAACAGTCATTCTTGACTGTTTCTTGATCTTGAATGTTAATCTTACGATTGGTGGAGAGCTTGGCGTTCATCTTACGATTGGTGGAGCTTGCCGTTGATCTTACGATTGGTGGTGAGCTTGGCGTTGATCTTACGATTGGTGGAGAGCTTGGCGTTGATCTTACGATTGGTGGAGAGCTTGGCGTTGATCTTACGATTGGTGGAGAGCTTGGCGTTGATCTTACGATTGGTGGAGAGCTTGGCGTTGATCTTACGATTGGTGGAGAGCTTGCCGTTGATCTTACGATTGGTGGAGAGCTTGGCGTTGATCTTACGATTGGTGGAGAGCTTGCCGTTGATCTTACGATTGGTGGAGAGCTTGGCCTTGATCTTACGATTGGTAGAGAGCTTGGCGTTGATCTTACGATTGGTGGAGAGCTTGCCGTTGATCTTACGATTGGTGGAGAGCTTGGCGTTGATCTTACGATTGGTGGAGAGCTTGGCGTTGATCTTACGATTGGTGGAGAGCTTAGCGTGGGGCTCACGTGGAGCTGGAGGAGCTCAGCGCTTCTTAAGGTCCCAAGTTCCTAGTAAGTACTAGCAACTAGGGCCGGCCGCAGACAGTAGCACTCTGGAGATTCTAGAAAGTACGAGAGCCAGAATTTTCTCTCATACGCGGACGGCTGTCAATCGCTATTGTGTTTTGTTTTTTTTAGTACTCCTTCAGCTCTTATTCTTCAACCTCTCCCACGCATCTACCTCCCATACATCTACCTCCCATACATCTACCTCCCATACATCTACCTCCCATACATCTACTTCCCATGCATCTACCTCCCATGCACCTCTTCCGTTTTATCACTGAGGATAATCTATTCCACAGGATAATATATGCCCCCATTACCTTGGCACCCCCCCTCCCTTCCCCCCTCCCATGTAGTAGCCCATTTGAGAGACGTCCATCTCCCATCTCTCTTGACTGCCAGTCCGTCCTCCTAAGGTTTGCCAACGTCGAGAAACTGTCGTACTAAAGTGCCCCCTTACTTATCCTAACCTACCAGAGGACCTAAAACAGAAAACGGGACATTGTGTCAATTTCATGAGCCACTTCCATTTTTTCTAGTACGACGATTTTTGTGCCTTAGGTGGAGTATACGTCAAAATGCTATTAGGAGAACGGGTTGTGCATTCATCATCCAGCGGACCATCATCCATCCATCCATTTTCTAGTTATCCATTTCTCACTCATCCCATTCCATCGTAGCCATTTTCCTAGAACCTGTCCCAGCACACCCACCTCCAACAGCCTAACCACTTGGGCTAGAAGGTATAGCGACGGTCTCGCTTCATGCAGGTCGCCGTTCAATCCCCCGACCGTCCACAAGTGGTTGGGCACCATTCCTTCCCTCCATCCCATCCCAAATCCTTATCCTGACCCCTTCCACGTGCTGTATAGTCATAATGGCTTGGTGCTTTCTCCAGATGGTTGCTTCCAGCACACGCTGTGTTCGTTTTCGTGGAGCCAATGACGGCCGTGTGCGTGTCGGGGAAGCAGACGCCGGCCGTGTGCGTGTCGGGGAAGCAGACGCCGGCCGTGTGCGTGTCGGGGAAGCAGACGCCGGCCGTGTGCGTGTCGGGGAAGCAGACGCCGGCCGTGTGCGTGTCGGGGAAGCAGACGCCAGCCGTGTGCGTGTCGGGAAAGCAGACGCCGGCCGTGTGCGTGTCGGGGAAGCAGACGCCGGCTGTATGCGTGTCGGGGAAGCAGACGCCGGCTGTATGCGTGTCGGGGGAGGCGATGCCGAGCGTGTGCGTGCGGGACCCACGATGCTGTGCCCGTGGCCAATCGATAAAGTTGAGGTTGAGGGCCCCGTCTTGGCGGGCCGAGGCGTCAAACCTCTAGCCTCCCCATCTGGGAATTACCACAGCGGTCCACGCCGCTTACGCCCGCCGCCACAGATCTTATCGCTAAGGTTTCGGTTCGAAACGACGGGTTATTTTCACCTTCATTTTAGCCACTGTGTATATTTCCGCGCCGTTCTACCTACTTATCTCCGGCGTTATATCAAATAAACTTGTGAGAAGACTGTGAAGAAATCTGTCTTCAAGACGCCTTCTCTGGTGGGATTGAAGGCATACGCTCACAGTTACAGCACCGCTTCTGTGCCAGGTAAGTCTACTACGGGCTCGCCATAGTCCGTGTTACTGGCCCCGCTCCTGTGCCAAGTAAGTCTACTACTTTCTCACCATAGCCCGTGCTACTTGCCCCGCTCCCGTGCAAGGTAAGTCTACTACGGGCTCACTATAGCCCATGCTACTTGCCCCGCTCCTGTGCCAAGTAAGTCTACTACGGGCTCACCATACCCCGTGCTACTTGCCCCGCTCCTGTGCCAGGTAAGTCCACTACGGGCTCACCATAGCCCGTGCTACTTGCAACTTTTTGTTCCTAGCGAATCTTAAACAACAACATGCATACGTTGGGACTACTTAGGCTTTGCTATGAATTTCTGGTGTATTGGATTGTTTTGTAGCGTGGTTTACTAGTTTTATAGGGAATTGTGTGCGAAATAATTCAAGAGAATTTGTTAAAAAAAAGTACATTTCTACCTTTTTCGACGGTAAAAAACAGAGGATTGGAGAGTGTCGATCTCCTTTGATGGTGTGTTGATAGAGACGAGACAGATCACGCTATTCCTTCTCTGTGTCTTGTAGACCAACATGCTCCATGTTGGGTTCTTGTAGACCAACATGCTCCATGTTGGGTTCTTGTAGACCAACATGCTCCATGTTGGGTTCTTGTAGACCAACATGCTCCATGTTGGGTTCTTGTAGACCAACATGCTCCATGTTGGGTTCTTGTAGACCAACATGCTCCATGTTGGGTTCTTGTAGACCAACATGCTCCATGTTGGGTTCTTGTAGACCAACATGCTCCATGTTGGGTTCTTGTAGACCAACATGCTCCATGTTGGGTTCATGTAGACCAACATGCTCCATGTTGGGTTCATGTAGACCAACATGCTCCATGTTGGGTTCATGTAGACCAACATGCTCCATGTTGGGTTCATGTAGACCAACATGCTCCATGTTGGGTTCTCATGTAGACCAACATGCTCCATGTTGGGTTCTCATGTAGACCAACATGCTCCATGTTGGGGGTTCTTGTAGACCAACATGCTCCATGTTGGGTTCTTGTAGACCAACATGCTCTATGTTGGGTTCTTGTAGACCAACATGCTCCATGTTGGGTTCTTGTAGACCAACATGCTCTATGTTGGGTTCTTGTAGACCAACATGCTCCATGTTGGGTTCTTGTAGACCAACATGCTCTATGTTGGGTTCTTGTAGACCAACATGCTCTATGTTGGGTTCTTGTAGACCAACATGCTCCATGTTGGGTTCTTGTAGACCAACATGCTCTATGTTGGGTTCTTGTAGACCAACATGCTCCATGTTGGGTTCATGTTGGGGTTCTTGTAGACCAACATGCTCCATGTTGGGTTCTTGTAGACCAACATGCTCCATGTTGGGTTCTTGTAGACCAACATGCTCTATGTTGGGTTCTTGTAGACCAACATGCTCCATGTTGGGTTCTTGTAGACCAACATGCTCCATGTTGGGTTCTTGTAGACCAACATGCTCCATGTTGG